GTTGTTTTTTTTTTTTCAAAAATGTGCAAAAGGAAAAGTATTAGCTTTGTGAAGGAAATACAGGTATCTAAACTTTCTACACCACTTACCTTTATCCTTGGCTTACTAAATTTGTGTTTTTACTAGCAGCTTTCAATTAAAATCATTTGAGTCCCTGTAATAATTGGCAAAGTATTCTGTCAACTTCAAAATGAATCTAAGCTATAAGAGGGCCTAGATTTTTTTGTTGCTACTTCTATTATGCTAATTCAAATCTGTATTATATCAATCAAAACCACCATTGATTCAACAGGTAGAATAATAAAATCCTAAGAGTATCTTGACCTACAATATTTAATTTGTGAGATTTAAGATGTATATTTCAGAAAATAATACTGTATGAATAATTTGCCTTGTTCTACATACAGTGTCTCATAGCACTACATTTCATTTAAATATTAAAACTCTAGTATTTTTCCTAAATTATGATTAATTACTGTTTACATCTTGCATATAAAGAAGAAATTTAGTCATCAGATATAATAGAGTGAATTTTTTTGTAGAATCTTAGCCATTAAAAAACTCCACTATCATAATCATGATATATTATGCTATTTTTCAAAGCAAGAAAACACTAACAAATTCAGAATTTAAAATGTGCAGCTGAAGAATTAGAAAATACCAAATAACTCATCATTAGAATTAGGAAAAAATCTAAAGTCTTTGAAGTCAATAGAAACAAATCAAAAGGAAAAAATTTCAGAAACAGCAACAAGGCAAAACTAAAAGAATTTTTTTTTCAGGAAATCTGAGCTGTGTATTCTGTATCTCAATAAAATGCAAATTACTGTGATGACACTGAAAGGATACAGCTAGCCATTATTTCTCTTTCTTTCTCTCACTTCCTATACTCAGCAACCGTGAAAGCAGCTTCCACTCTGAAATGATGCTGAAAAAGAAAGGAGCAGGTGCAGAGTGCCCATGTCTGATCACATCGCCTTTTTTCCTCTCTCCAAGGTAGGACTGTGAGCAAGAGCAGCAGCTTGCCATATGGCCCTTTGTCCCAGGAGAGAATTTGGGTCCTAATTCACCGGCCTCTGAAATTACTGGTAGTCATTTCACTGATCTCAATAGGTGCAGGACTGAACCTTTTAATTATGGTCCATCAGTCAGAGGGGAAATTTAAACAGGCAGGATTTTTGTCCTGGCTGATGGCTAGAACATCTTGTCAGCTATATAAAAACCTAGGCACCTGCTCTCTGACTTTTCTTCAATCTTCTATGCCCTGCCTTATATTACCTCTTCTAACACACAATTAAAAGCCTCAGTTAAGGGGTTAGAGGTATTATTTTGGATGGCAGTACAACATTTTGGTCAAAAAATTATAGGGGCACAAACTCCATAGCTGAAGATGAAAGGCTGAAATAGAGTAATAGTTAAAGCATCATAGAGCAGGAATATGCCCATAGAAACATATAAATCTTAAAAGTGTAAGCAGCTCAGGCTTTACTTTAGCTTGGATCTACATTTCTGTATATAATTTACATAAGAGATGTGATGATGTGATTCATTTTAGTTAAATTCCATAACTATATTTTTATAAAATAATTATTCATATATTATATATTATTATAATAATTATAAATACAATTTTCTTTATTTATTTTCTTCGTTCACATGAAGAAGAAAAATTAAGATCTCCAGGGTAAATTCTTGCTTTATATATGGCTAAATTTAGATTTAGGGAAACTGATTCTTCCAAGCTATATCTAGGATAACCTAGATATAGCTCCTTTGGAGAAATGTGTACATACTCTAGTGAGCACAAAAGGCAGGCAAACACAAGTGCATCAGCAATCTAGTTTAAGAACTGCACCTCTTACAGTATTTCACATATTATTTAAATAAATTGGTTAGAAAGAAAGTATTAATTATCCTTGATAAAAATACATTTCTTCCACACTGTGTACAACATTCACCTTGCCAGACAAGAAATTTCATTCTGGAATGCCTGATTCTGCCTCACTAGAAAGAAGAGCCAAGAGTAACCCACAGCTGTGTGAAATTCAGCTGCACAGACTTTGCCCAGACTCATAACCTTATTTTTGTCTATAACATAGCAGTACTGGTGAGGCTGGGCTGACACTGCCTCCTGCCAACATGATTCTGCACATAGGAAAAACGGTGCATATTGCAGTGCTGTGTGTGCCTCCGCTTCTAGCTATCAAAGCTTTTATTTTGTCAACTGTTTTAATAGATCCTATCCCTCAGAGAATCTCTATCCCGCTGAAACGGTCAGCCCATTTTCTTTCTTAGCTGAAAATGTGTCACGTCTGTCTCAAACACTAAGAGGGATGGCATTTAATCTTGTTACAGTCTCTTGATGAGGACAACCTTCTCAGAAGGATGAAATGGCAAATGAAGAGGAAACGACAAAGTTCTCTTCTCTTTGCAGTTATTTGTATCTTTTAGTGAATTATTCAGACTTTTGACAAATATTTTTGTGTGTAGATGGAATTGCGAAATCAGTATTTACGTCAGTCTATAAATAATAGTAAAGCCACTAGCACATTTTTCCCTGAATTGTTGCCAGTGTCTTCCCTTTGCGCTGAATATGTTACTTTTGGCAGTGACATCTTTTTCACTCTGTGCGGATTTCAGTGACTATTGTTTTCATGAAACCTTAGTTTCATAATAGATTTTTTCAGTGATCTGATAAATTTCATCATTTGCATTTATTTGACATTTATCTGACATATTCTTACTGTGTTTCCTGAAGGAAAGACCCCACAACACAGCAAAAGAGATTCTTCTCTCTAAGTGAAGTGACCAAAGACCTCTAAAAGTGGGAAACTGACTAAAAATCCCATTTTGTCTCCCTGTGCTGTTTGCGAGAAGGAAAGAAAGGCTGGGGTGGGGGGGGAAGATGTTCTAAAGGTTTATTTCAGTTCTCATTAGCATCTTTTAATTCTGGGTTTTTTTTTTCTTTTTTAATATCTTTTAAAGTTTTGGGCCTATTTTGCCCTTCAAATGTTTTCTCCTAATCGTTATCTCACACCATGAGTCTCCTTTTCCTCTCCTCTGCTTAACCATAGCCAAAAAGAATGAATACTTTATTTTCATAGGAGCACTGGAAGTTGCTCAGACATAAATATTTAAAATTTTCAAATTAGAATAAAATTATTTACCCCAGGAAAATATTGTACAGGATATAGAATAAAATACTTCAATTTTATGAACTTGTACTTTTTAAAAATATTAATTAAGGATCTTACGTGTTTTCTGAAGTTAACAAAACTCATCTTAAAAGGACCTTTTCCCCACTAAAAGTAACTTTGAAATTTACTCTAGATACTTAAAAGTTGTCATCTTATTGCAGGGGCTCCATACTGCTGTCTCCTATCACAAGAGTTTCGTACCTTCTTAGTGTTTTCTCATGGGTTACTCCTCAGAGCACAGACTCTTCTTCACACAGCAACCAACTCAAGTTCCCCTCTCACCCAACCACCCCACTCTTTTATAGCAATTTCCTTCTCATTGGTTACAGCTGTGCCTGTGAAAGTCAGGCCTGCTCCTAATCTTTGATAATTGGCCCAGCTGCAACTCCTTGGGGGTAAGATCATTTTCTAGACAATGTTTATTTGCTTATTTCTATCCCACTACATTTAAATGTTTTCAAATATTATATCCTTTTCTCCTTTTTAATTAGCAGAAGTTATACTAACTGAAAATGAATGTATATTCTATCTTTTCTTAAAGTCAGTATCTAATTTAGACATCAGTTAATATTCAGTTGTGGTGGGTTGACCCTGGCTGAATGTCAAGCACTCACCAAAACTCTGTCACTCCCCTCTGTAAGTGAATAGGAGAGAGAAAATACAATGAAGGATTCACAGGTTGAGATAAGGATAAGGAGAGATCTCTCACTGATTACCATCATGGTCAAAACAGACCTCAGCTTTGGGATATTAATCTGATTTATTACTAACAAAGTCAAAGCACGATAATGAGAAGTAAAATAAGTCTTAAAAAACACCTTCTTCCCAACCCTCCCTCCTTCCCAAGCAGCTCTATCTCCTACCTCTGAGTGATGCAGGGGGACAGGGAGTGGGGTTTATGGTCAGTTCATCACACATTTCTGCCTCTACTCAGGGAGAGGAGTCCCTGCTCCTCTTTGGGGTCCCTCTCATGAGAGACAGATCCCCACCACCTTCTCCAAAGTGAATCTATCCCATGGGCAACTGTTCTCCATGAACTGCTCCAGGTTGGATCATTCTTCTCTGGGCTGTAGTCCTTCAAGCACAAACCTGCTCCAGTGTGAGTTCCCCACAGGGTCACAAGTCCTACCAGCGAACCTGTGGCGGGGCTCCCCGCTCCACAGGATTGCAGGTCCTTGCCAGGAACCTGCTCCAGCACAGGTTTCTTAGGGCTCACAGCCTCCCCTCAGGCATCTGCCTGCTCCATGACCGTGCTCTGCAGACTGAAGGAGAATCTCTGCATCCTCATGGAACTTCATGGGCTGCAGGGGCACAGTTGCTTTACCATTATCTTAACCATGGGTTACAGGGGTATCTCAGCTCTGGGACCTGGATCACCTCCTGCCCCTCCTTCTCCACTGACCTTGGTGTCTGTAGTGTAGTTCTTCTCACACATTCTCACTCTTCTCTGGCCACAGTTACATATGTCAAATAGCATTTTTATTCCTTCTTAAATATATTATACAGAGGTGTTACTATCATTCCTGATTGGCTCAGCCTTGGCCAGCAGCAGGTCTGTCCTGGACCCGACTAGCATTGGCTCTGCCAGACACAGGGGAACAAGATTCTAGCAGCTTCCCACAGAAGCCACCCTGTAGCCCAGCCCTGCCACTACCAAAATCACACAAACCTAATATGGCAGTATAGCTTGGATATCAATAACATATCTGATTTTAAATCTTCAAATTTGTGTAGGTTGAGTAACACTTACTTAGGGTGCAAAAACGCATAGCCTGAAATATCATCATGCAAATATCTCAAAGCTTTGCAAGTCACAGACAAAATGTTAAGAAGATGATAAAGTACCCTACTAATTTTAACATATTTCTTTATTCCCTCAGATATATTTTAATCACAGGAAAGATCTCTGTGCTTTGGAAATAAGAAGATGGAACACAATTCATAAGATAGCTCCTAAAATTTTAGAAATCATTCTGTGAAAGTTTCTGTTTCTCTACTATCAAAGAAAGACCAAAGAACAACGTTTCCTAGCCTGGAGGAAAAGGTAAGATTACACTAGATTATGTATTCTAATTGACTAGCAGTAAATAAAAAGCCCAAACCTGGTATATAGGATGTCCTGTATGTCTCAAAGAGGAGGGTATATAATGTACATGTATGTATATATATATACATATATATATTTATTGCTGTTGTTGTTGTTGTTATTGTTGCTGTTATTATCATCATTGACACTGGGAAGTTTGTGATTTTATTTGGTGTGTCTGAGTGCATGGAACAAAAGTATGTTAACATGTTCTGATTTGCAATAGAAGTGAATCCGTAGAGAGAAATGGTTGTTCCCTATGCTCAACTCTGTGCAGCTTTAGAAGGTTCCCTTATGATGAGCTCTAATCTGATCGCTGGACCATATTTAATCTGAACCAAACCTCTAATCAGACACTTGCAGTGGACACCCGATGACAGCCTCATGTCTGCTACCAACCTTCTGGATGACTTTATCTGAATCATTTTATATCCTGATGTTTCCTTTTTTCTCTTTAAAAGAGAGTTAAGAGCACAAGCAGATAGAGTATTACCAGCATTACAAGATCTCTGATAGAGTGGAATGGTAGTAATGTCCATATGTAGGAGAAAAAAGGGCCAGCTAGCAACAGGTTTTTCCTCATCTCCAGTTTACTTTTTCAGTGGTCATAGAGGTGGAAGTATATTAGCAAGAAAACTGGCAAGTCTAGCAGTTGTGGAAAACTGTTCCATGTGGGAGAAGAATGTCTTAATGATTGTCTCTGTCCTTATTCATCCTTATGAGAATAAGCCAAATATTTTCATTAATAAAAATTTAAGACAGAGATTGAATAAATTGACAGATGAAGGCATACAGACTTTATCAGGGGACAATTCTGCTTAGATCTCTCAAACAGGCAATTGAATCATCTTTCATCTACTTTGGAAAGAAGGATCTTATTCCCTATTGTAACCTCATTCAAAATAGTGGGAAAACTCATGGCTCTGCTCCATGGTAATAAGGGTTATAGATTCATAGGCTTTGTAAAATCAGTCCTTTTTTTTTGCTAAAATGTGTTGGCTCCTATACAGTGCTGCCATAGAGCTCAGGCATCATGACAGAGGGAACAAGGAAGCGCTCAATGCCAGTGAGTAACTCTTCCTGCTGATACCACTTTTTTGTGGCATACAGCCAGGCATGAGTGATCCATTGCAACAGCAAGAAGCATGTAAAGGCCATGTACCTTCTATGACTCACAGTTTAAATTAGGTAATAGCCAAGTTAACCACAGCAGACTCCTGTTTAGAAAAGACATCAACTCTGATTCTGCGACAGTTTTTGCCTTTTTTGGAGCCGTGCCTGTGTATTCATATGTGATGCCTGCTGCCTCTGTTCCTCCTGAACATTGCTGCAGACTAGCATGGATAATCTGCACTCGGTTCTGTTTGACTTCAAAATCATGGTAACACCCATGATTTTGTATCACAGAATCAAAACCACTAATTTTCAGGTTTTTTGGCATTCCACATGTTTATGGGAAATATGTAAACCTGACTATTTCCTTTTCCTTGTGCTTGTGAAAGAAAGCCAGACAAAATAATCACTTGAGATAAGCTTCAGGATTTTTTTGTTTGTTTGTTTTACTGAGGAAATGGGCTGTCTTCTTTGGAAACATAAGCTTTCACCAGAAACCCTTTCCTCAATGTGCAAAGAAATATTTTTTTTTGGCGATTTCACATGAATCTAGAGAAACTGAAGAAATTTTATTGAGTTGATAGCTTTTTACATTGAGTGACAAGAGAATCCTTGCAGAATAATTTGCTGAATTTGCTGTACAGCCAAAGAATGTCAAGTGGTTGACCTTTTTTGAGTCTACACCAGTTTATAAAATATACACAAAACCCCTGAGAGATTTTGCCAGGGGTTGCAGAGAATTTTCCTGGTAAGCCTGCTTTGCACATATTAATTTTGGATATTTGGGAAATCCTATTAAAAGCCTTAAAAACATTGAGTTCAAAGCTTTTTCACTGTTCACTTGCCCTCAGGGGAAAGTATCTACACCAATTCACAGGGGAAAAAAGAGACGCTATAATTGAAGAACAAGAATACAGAAACATTTCATATTTTTTACATAGGGTAATTAGCTGTGTTCCTAGATCTGAAGCTTATCAGTGTATGTTTCTGACAATGTAAACATTCTGCAAGATGTATCATGATTAACTTGAAAAATAGGCTAATTATAGTTAAAAAGAAAATTATTCTGTAATTATCTTTGTAATCATATTACAAAATGCCTGCATATAGCCTAATCAAGCAAAATAACAACAGACATTTTAAAATGTTGTGTCTGAACATCTGTTTCTATATTTGTAATCAGGTAATGCAGCATATCTATATAAATATATATATGTTTGCTAATAAATAAATGAGCAGTGAAAAAACATGAATTGAAACTCTGTCAGCTGCTTATGTAATAACCCTGTTAGGAGACCAAAAGTTTTAAACAAAATGGAAATTCAGATCACTGTGCTCCTCAGGTAGATAACATCTGGTAGATGATTATATACCCTTTGGTGAAATTATTCTCTGTACATACTCAATCCAACAAAAACAAATCTTTGCTTCAGCAGAATCAGAATTCCTTACACAGGATTTTAAAATGTTTTTTTTAATTTAATTTCAAATGTGATAGGGAAAATTTGTCCAGCATTTGGTCCCATGATAAAGTTATAAGATATCAAAATGTTAATTTTTTAATATTATAATTAAACATTAAAATTCCTTTAGAAACTAATAATGTATAATTCAATACTCCCTTGTCAGCCCAAGAGGGATTACTATACCTAATTTCTTTCTTTAGTTGCAAATAACAGAGAAAACAAAGTTAAAATCATCAAAAAATTGTGGGCGGCCAACTTGAAGCTATTTTGATGTGCTGATGGAACTGTATATAGTTATTTCCAAACATTTCAGTTTTTCCACTATTTTTCAGTCCCAGCCTCCAAATTGACCATGTAGGACATGATAAGGGCCTGATATCCATCTGAGCATTTGAATTCTCTTAAGCCACCAAAGCAAATCTTCCCCTTTGCTATTCTTTCTGTTCATTTGGCCATTTTGCAGCAGTCTCCAGAATCATCAACTGAATCCCTCTTGACTACCCTGACTCAGAAGATATGCCATAAGATATACTTCAGCTGCAGAAGTTTCTCTTTCCTGGGATAAGATCCCACCAAGTGTGGAGTAATATGAGGCAAAGAATACAACACGTTGTATTCTTTGTTGTTGTTCAATAACACCAAATATCTGCCAAGCCTAATAGCATAGCATGCACTGCCTGTATTGGCAGCAGCAATGAGCCCTCCAGTAAGACAAGCAGTGAAATCTAGAGATGATCAAACAACAGAGTTCATATTGAGGTGGTAGGAGCAGATTTTCTGCGTTGTTCACATTTTGGGTTTTGGAATTTTCTTATTTCCAAGCAAACTGCTAATTCACTTGTCAAACCTGGAATTGCAAGCACTTTTTATTTTCTCCTTGTATCCTATTGTAGTATTTGCTACTGAAAATACAACTTCTTCAGTAAGCAAGACAGAAATCATACTTAGAAATAATTCCTTCCCTATGACACTAATTTCTTTTTAGAACACTATTTTGCTCTGTGAAGAAATAAACTTCTGGAGAGCAGGAAGCAGGAGTTGTTAATAATAATTTAAAAAATAAAAGTAAAATTTTATCTTAGATCTATTCATGTGGAAATTGAACATCTACTTCAGTCTGTCTAAAGATGTATGTCTCATAATGGCAAATGATTCCCTTATTGAAATAACCATACAGACAACCTACACATCTAGCTTAGACTAGAAAGCATTATATGGATTAATTTTTAAGAATAATTTCCAGTCCATATAATCCTATTAGCTGTTAAAAAAAAGTTAGAAATGCCCCAAGTAAAGAATTAATTATTCATCATAAGCCTTGATTCAAGTATCTCCAGTTATGGAATGTTTGGTTTTGTTACACTCAGATATTGTTAATTATGAAAAAACAATACTGCAAAATATTACTGTATAGTACACTAATGTGAACATTTAGATGCTCAAATACCAGCATCTATATATGCCAATTTCTTTATAACTCCAATTAAAAAAAAATGTGCCAAAGCCATTTGCTTGCTTTGGGAAGGATTGTAGTTTTTCCCCCCTCTGGTCCATTAACGTGTAATATTTAGTTCAACAAACAGTTAAGATTTCATCAAAGATGACAGGATTTTTGCATCCTCACAAACAATTGTCTGGATTATAAAGCTATTAAATAATTTTGATTTTTAGAACAAAAAATGCTATTGTCAATATGTAATAGATTCATTATAAGAAATATAAAAAAATAGGTAACCAGCTTAATCAAAGTGTTGTTTTTTCACCTCCACAGTCTCCTTCCCAGCTCCTGAAACATGCTTTTAAAAAATGTTGAAGTGTTCTGATCTACTTTTTCAGATAAGTTGTCCCACATTTCAAAAAACAGAGAAATCGTGTTACCATGGACTACATCTCCAACTGTGCTAAAAAGCACTTTGAAGACACATCACTAAGTGGACAAGCCAATATGAAAGAGGCACACCACCAAAGGTGGTTTAGTCACTTAAAAAAAATAAAAAAGGTGATCCATCTTCAGTGTTCTCATATAGCAGGCAGGACTGATGCACAATAAGAACAGCCATCAGCATGCACAAGGTCAGAAGCTGACATTAATGTGTATTTTGCCAAGTTATAATAGATTCAGACTAGTCAAAAATAAATGTAGTCCTGCAGATCTCTTCCTACAGACTTCAAACAGAGACTACATTTTATTAATACACACTAAGATGAATTTTCATGCACTGTAATAGTTATATAAAATGCCCAGCCCTTTTTCTTAGACTGAATGCACACATAGGAACTGGCTGTGAGAAAATTCTTATGGAAAAATACACATTAAATACATAAGATTGATACAGCCAGATGCATGTTCTCTCTAAACACCTTCATATGGGATGCCTG